GGAATGGCGTATATCAGTCGCTGCCGCGAGCTGCGCGACAAGCTTCTTCGATGTGGAGGATCGATTTCAGAGGACGCCTTCGTCACGGTTGTCATCGGCGGTCTTGGTCCTCACTGGCGCTCCACTCGCGCCATACTACGAGCCCACGGGAAAATTTCTGAAGCAGCACTTTGCGCCGAAATCCACGCCGAGCAGCAAGACATGGACCTGCAAGAAGAACGACACAAGAGAAAGGTATCAGTGCCCGAATTCGCGTTTCACACTCAACGGCGCCACAACAACAACAACAATCGACCGAAAATCGTACCTCCGTTCTGCCACCTCTGCAAGACTTCAGGGCATCCTCGTACGCACTGCCCGAATCGACAACAGTCAACGTCGCCGCAACGCCAACTTCGCCCTTCAAGCAGTCAAGTCGCCTCAACGCAAGCAAATCCGACAACTTCAGTACAAGTCTCAACAACATCGACGGGACAACCTGCGAAAGGAACAAGAAACATCGTCAGCTGCATGGCAAGGCTGAGTGACTCCTGCGTAACTGAGTCACCACCATATTACTCACCAGAAGAACAACTCGACAACAGCACGCCTCGCCGCGAGTCACTTCAACCGAACCCGACGTACGCCGCCATCGCTCAAAGCGAGCCGTCCGGGAAGGATACATGGTTCTTGGACAGTTGCTGCGGACAACATATGTGCTCTTCAGGACGTTTCGTTCAACGCGAGCACCAACTTCAACGAGAAGTCGTCATCACTGTCGCCAATAATCAGAACCTGCGCACACGACGACAAGGAGTAGTGCAACTTCAGTCACGAGAGACGAATGTCATACTGCAAATGTCCAAAGTCCTAATAGCAGAAGGACTTGGCTACAACTTACTGAGCGTCAGTCAGTTGATGGCGAAAGGCATACATCTGGAAGCCGACAGTACCACCCAGGAGTTCAAGCTGTACCACGGGAAGGGCGGCCTCTACATCGGAAAGGCGGTCCTGAAGAACAATGTCTTCGTTCTCGATTTCGTCCCAGACCTGGGCACCGCAGACAGTGACGGGATCGTCACCTTCACATCTTGGACGCACCCGCCGGATCTCGACCCCGACTTCAGTCCGGAAGGCTTTTGGTATTCACATACCATTCCTGAAGCAGAACGAACACGTGCGTTAGTAACAATACAACATTCGGCAGCAGCAGAGACAACATCGGCAGCAACAGAGACAACATCGGCAGCAGCAGAGACAACATCGGCAGCAGCAGAGACAACATCGGCAGCAGCAGAGACAACATCGGCAGCAGCAGAGACAACATCGGCAGCAGCAGAGACATCATCGGCAGCAGCAGAGACATCATCGGCAGTAGCAGGAACAACAACAGTAGCAGCAACAACGACACCACTCCTCGTTGACGAAGCACCACCAACACCCGCACAGCAGCTGAATCCGGCTCAACGGGAAGTCCATAGAAGCGCAAACTTCACCGCCAGCTTCTACTCCAACTCCGACGCGTATCGACGCTCACCCGGACACCGCGCCTCCGAAGACATCTGGCACGCACGCATGGGACACCCAAGCAACACTGTGTGAAACAACACAATAAGAGCAGGAGTCCTTGACAAGGACTCGTTACTACTACTCGACGGCAGAGAACTTCAACGGGCACGAGGAACATGTCTTACCTGCCCCGAAGCCGACTTACCACATCGGCCGTTCACTCCTCATCACAACCCGAGCACACCCGCGTACGCACCACTCGAAAAGGTGTATAGCGACATCCTGTACAATCGGGAACCAGGACAAGTAATATACAACTACACAATCACCTTCATCGACGCCGCCACCCGTTACGTCTGGCATCTAAACCTACCCAGCCGCGACATGGTCCTCGAAGCATTCGCTGCTTGGCTACCAGTAGCAGAAAGAGAGTCGGGCGTAAAGCTGAAAAGCTTCCAGTCTGACGGAGGAGGAGAATACACCTCTCAGCGATTCAAGCAGTACCTGGCGGAAAGGGGAATCAAGCAGCTCCTCTCTCTTCCCTACGCCCATCAGCAGCAAGGTGTAGCAGAAAGAATGGACAGGACTCTGCAGAACAGCATGCGCAAACTGTTGCGTGGCATGCGGCTACCCAACCACCAGTGGCCTGACGCGATGGACCACGCTGTCATGCTGCACAACTTGCTCTCATCTTCATCACTACCGAACAACGCATCACCGCATCTGCTGTGGACAGGAAAACAGGGCAGCACAAAAATGTTACGAGTGTTCGGATGCATGGTATAGTACCGACCCCCAGTAGCACGAGCGGGCCGATTTTCACAACGCGCACAGTGGGGACTACACCTCGGCATCGAAAAGAACTACAACGCGTGGAAAATCTTTGACGTCCACTCCAAGGAAACAGTAGCAGCACGCGACGTCATTTTCTACGAACGACTCACGCTCCAGACATACCTTGCCAACCTGCAAGAGGACCAAGATCCCACAGGTGGTTTTCGTGGTGACCGAGCCTTCGCCTCGGCAGCAGACGAAGCTGACTGGGACGAGCAGAATGTGGCCAACGCATCAGAAGAAGCTGGACCCCTTCCGTTCTGCTCCGTCGACGTCCCCATGGACGAAGATAACCCTCGCGAAAGTGTCAACGCCGAAACCTTCTACTACTTCGCCGACAACGGTTACGTAACACCTGCGACAGTCAACACCAACGAAGCAGAACGAGTAGGACCGAATTTCATACCTGATCCAGAAGCGGGAGATGAAGCAGCTTATCCCGAGGATGCAACTCTTCCCCGCTACTCACAGACTGGACTGCAGATTCTCGGACTCGTCACCGCAGTCCACGGCAACACTCTTCTTAAGGAGCCTGCGACGGTTCAGCAGGCTCTGGGGGGGGAACACAGGGAAAAATGGCGTGAAGCCATGGACAGAGAGTTAAAGGCGATGGAGGAACGGAACACCTGGAAAGTTGTCCCCATCAGCGTGGCAAGGAACAAGACCATTCTCACCGGGAAATGGGTCTTCCGCGTTAAAACAAAAGCAGACGGCACAATTGAGAAGTTCAAAGCACGCTGGGTTGTGCGTGGATTCGATCAGGAGCACGGATGGGACTTCACCGAGACATTCGCCCCGGTTAGCCGACATACCTCACTTCGAATCCTCCTCGCGATCGCCGCCATGAAGAAAAGGAAGCTACGGCAAATCGATGTCGCCAACGCGTTCCTCTACGCACCTGTCGACGTGGAAATCTTCGTCGAGCTCCCACACGGTACCAACGGGGAACCTAACCAAGTCTGTCAACTGCTGAAATCACTTTACGGGATCAAGCAAGCTCCGCGGCTATGGCAACAGTACCTACACGCTCGCCTCATTCGCATCGGATTCCGCCAACTACCTCACGACCAAGGAATGTACCGACTCACTAAAGACACCGACTACATTCTGCTGATCGTCTACGTAGACGACCTACTCTACATCGGCTCCACTGACGACATCACCACCTGGTTCGAAGGGGAGCTACAGAGGGACCTCACACTCACGGTCTCCTCTACCGTCACACAGTACCTCGGCTTGAACATTCGGGAAGAAGAAGGCGCGATCTACCTCAACGCCGCTAAGTACGCCGACACCATCGCCAAACGCTTCGCGCTCACACCTACCACCATCTCTACGCCCTACCGCTACGCGACAGGAAACCACAAGGAAGGATCCTCTCTACTCAAATCCGCCGGGATACGCGACTACCAGAGAAAGCTAGGATGCCTTCTCTTCGCAGCTGTCACCTGCCGCCCCGACCTCTCATACTCCGCAAGCCAGCTCGTCACCTACCTCAAGAAGCCTGAAGAAGAACACCTGGCGGAGCTCGACCGCGCTCTCCACTACTTCGTCAGTACCTCAACGATCGGCCTAACTTACTACAAGAACACAACTACACCGACTAAATTAATCGGCTACGTCGACGCTGATCACGCTGGCGACTCCGACAACAGGCGCTCCCGCACCGGCTACATCTACCGCCTCGAACCTATCGGACCGATCTCCTGGCAATCGAGCAAGCAGGAATTAATTGCTCTCTCGTCAGCTGAAGCAGAATATATTGCACTCTGCTCAGCCACCAAGGAAGGACTCTATCTTCGCGAGCTGCTGGAAGAAGCGAAGTTAGCCGAGTTACCCAACTTCACTCTGTTCTGCGACAACCAATCTGCAATTCGCATCGCCAACAAAAATGGATTCGCGAACAGAACGAAGCATATCGCTCTGCGATATTTCTTCGTGAAAGACGAGATTGAGAAGGGGAGACTTGAACTATCCTACTGTCCCACGTCCGAGATGGCAGCTGACAACTTGACCAAGAAGCTCGGAAAACAGAAGTTCGAGTACTGCATGCTGCTGACTGGACAAAGCCACGTCACCAGCAGCGACACTCCAGAAGCGAAGGGGAGTGTTGGGAACAAACAATCTTAAGCGCCTCTGTCGTGTCGAAACACCAAGGCACAAGCGAAGCAGAGCATATCGAGGCACCAGCGAGTCAACCCTCGGAGGTTGAAGTAACCGCTGGAGGTTACGCGAAAGTCAAAGGTCAGCGACCTTTGACTTGACAAATGCAGCGCGACAGCAAGGACACACAACTGACTCGACATTGAGCAGTTGCCCGAGTCGCACTGTATCGAACCGCAACAGTAAAACAGTTTAATTATATCTCTTCGTATTCTTTGTACTCTTATATAAACCTTTGTACTTGCTTGTTTTAATCAACTTACTTTGCCCTCACATACCAGCGCAAGGTGGTTCAAGGACTTCATTTAAACGCTTCCGCTACTACATCACTCTACCCAGAGTTTAACCCTACCAAAGATCCTAAGGGGCACTCAGCCCAACAGGGATGCCGTCTCGTCTGCCACAGCTGCTGCTCGCCATCACTGCACACTGCCATCATCGCATGAGCTCGCTGCTGCTCACAGTTATCGTGCTTACAGGATGGGAACTGGGGTATGATGGGCAAGGGACAGTTGTCAAGCGAAGCTGCTGCTGTGGGCTGGGCTGGATGAGGGGACATAGTGGAAAGGGAAGGGACGGAAGTGCGGAATGGGGAGGGGCAGGAGAGGAGGGAAAGGGATGGCCGGGGGAAGGGTGAATGGTGGGACGGGATAGTGGGAAAGGGAAGGGATGGGAAAGATGGAAAGGAAGGGTTTAGGAAAAGGGGAAAGGAGCAGAGGGTTGGGAGAGGGGGAGCTGTGGATTGGGAGAGGGGAAAAGGACAGGTGTAAGGAGAAAGGCTCAAGGGGAATGGGATAGGACAGGGGGAAGGAGAAAGGGACAGGGGGAATGGGATAGGGCAGGGGAGGGACAGGAGAGGAGGGAAAGGGATGGCCAGGAGAAGGGTGAATGGTGGGACGGGAGAGTGGGAATGGGAAGGGATGTGAGAGAGGGAAAGGAAGGGTTCAGGAAAGGGGGAAATGAGCAGGAAAAGCAGCGACGGTAGTGAGGGAAAAGGGACGAATGGGGGCGGATGAGAGCAGGGGGAAGAAGTGGGTTGGGAGAGGGGAAAGGAGGGAGGGAGAAGAAGGGGAGGGAAGGACAGGGAGAAAGGGAAGAAAGGACAGGGGGGAGAGCGGATAAAACATCAGGAGGAACGAAAACGATGAAAGGGAGGGAAGGACAAGGGGAAAGGGAGAGAATGACAGGGGGAAAGGGTGGGAAGGACATGGAGAAAAGGAGGGAAGGACAGGGGGGAAGGGATAGAAGGACAGGGGAAAGGGCGAGAAAGACTGGGGGAATGAGAGAGAAGGAGAGGGGGAAAGGGAAAGAAGGACAGGGGCCTATAGCATGACGCTGCACGCTCCCGCCTCGCCCGACACTCGCTACCGCTCGCCACCTCCCGCCATTGTCGCGCCGCTGCTCGCCACCGTCATGCGCGCAACTAGCCGTCGCATCTACGACCATTGCGTCTCGTGACCGATCTTTGCATCGACCCCTGGCGATGCTCGCCACAGTCGCCCCCATTCCGACCATTGTTTTTTGCTCTTCCCACCCTTTCCCCCTGTCCAACTCTCCCATTCCGGCCCTGTCACCATCGTGCTTGCCGTTTCTCGCCGCCATTGCGCTTGCCACACATCCCCTTGCCTTCGCCGCATCGCAACCGATATCGCTCGCTAAAGCCGCATGTGTTTTCAACTTGAAACCGATGGGAAGAGAAAGATGGCGACCTTCATTCAATGACAGGGGCTGCAGCACAATGCTGCTCGCTCCCGCCTCGCCCGCCACTCGCTGCTGCACGCTAACGTCGCCCCGCTGCTCGCTACTGTCGTCATCGCTGCTCGCTATCGTCATTGCACTGCTCGCTACCGTCGCCATGCTGCACGCTACCGTCGCCACGCTGCTCGCTGCCGTCGCCATGCTGCTCGCTACCGTCGCCGCTCTGCTCGCTATCGTCGCCCCGCTGCTGGCTACCGTCGCACCCAATCCTGCCTGTCGCCATCGTCGCTGCTTGCCACCGCCGATTCGTGAGAAATGGAGGGACGGGAGAGGGAAAACAGAACGACGACAGCGGAGGAAATCGGGCGCAATGCGCTACGGGTACGATTGCCATGGTATTTTTAAGGTACGAAATAGCGCAGATATTCGAGCGCACACTAAGAGGCGAAGAAGAGCAGTAGATCTGAGGCGAATGGCTCTGAGTAGCTGTAAATACGCACTTCAAGTTAGTAGTAACCTACTAGCCTAGCGTGAGAGTTTGCTGAGTTTGAGTAGTAGTGTTTTTTGGGTTGCGAAGCAACCCTTTACGATCGATTTTGCCAATTTTTATTTTCATATTTATTAATTTTAAATAAAATATGAAAATAAAATTCATAAACTACAGTACCCTCCCCATACTGTGCATATTGATTAGTTGTCAATCTTGTTCACAATACATCAAACCATATGTTTTTTTTTATCATATGTTTTGTGCAGATGTGTTGTACTGTTTGCATTATATGTTTTACTATTAAATGGTGTTGTAGTAATGATAAATAAATGCATGTGCATAAAATAATGCTATATGCATAATGTTCAATATGATATGTCATGAATCATGATGCACATGTATGCACATAATAAAATGCAAGACAGTTAACGACCCAATAACTAAGCTACCGCCATCCCCTGCCTAGCATGGGGGGGAGGTCAATAGCATAGATTTTGAATAATCAACTATCACATGAAACAACACAATCTGTAAATCCTAAAAAAATGGTCAACGCTATCAAATCCAGTTCGAAGTGGCAACACACGAGTCACTTTGTGCGCCAATGAACCTTTTGTGAAATGACAGACCTTTGCCATCTTTTTAAAATTCACAGACATGCATTGTTGATGCAATAATGAACATAAAATAATACACATGCATGCATACAATGACACATACGCACACATACACACACACATACGAAGGCAAACTAACGATAATAGAACCGCATACAAATGCACAAACTAAAAAAAAAAAGTAGGAAAAAATGAAAACAGAAGATGGAAAATTTATGAACAGCAATCTAAATTAAATTACACAATCCAACATTTCCCAATCGCTTGGCTCAATCATAAGGTAGTTAATCTGACGTACGCGAAACCTGGTGAAGAAAGAAAACAAGCATCACAAGACGAAGAAAGGAACGAGTAGAAGGGATAAAGAGCGGATACGGTGAAAGAAAATCAACCGAAAGGAAGAAGCAAAGAAAACAAGACGAATGGTTTCAAAACAAGGGAGAGAGGACGAGAGAGAGAGAACGAGAGAAAGAAAAACAGAGAGAGAACGAACGAGAGAGAGAGAGAGAGAGAGAGAGAGAGAGAGAGAGAGAGAGAGAGAGAGAGAGAGAGAGAGAGAGAGAACGAGAGAGAGAGAACCAGAGAGAGAACCAGAGAGAGAGAGAGAGAGAGAGAGAGAGAGAGAGAGAGAGAGAGAGAGAGAGAGAGAGAGAGAGAGAGACCGAGAGAGAGAGAGAACGAGAAAGAGAGAACGAGAGAGAACGAACGAGAGATAGAGAGAGAGAGAGAGAATTCAAAAACAGAAACTAAGAATGAAGAAACGATGCAGCTACGAATAGAAGGAGTGGCTAATCGAAGAGTCTGAAAAAAGAGAAGGAAGGGTGAAGAACGGATAAAGAAAAAATGGTCACGAAAACCTAGACAAACGTCACTAGATGCGGAATCTATTAAAAGGAAGTACCGGGCAGATGGAGATGGAGCAGCAGATGGAGCGTGAGTACCGGGCTCATATAAACTGGGCTCCACTCACGAGTGGGAGAGACAAAGAAGAAAAGGACAACGAAACCCTAGAGAAGTTCTATTTCGTCGCACAAAAATTGAACCAATAAATTAAAACAGACTCATATTTTAGTTGTTTGTAGCGCAGTTGTAATTGCACCGACTAGGTGTTAAATGATCTCCGGTTCAATTCTTGTAGGTGTGCAGTTTTACCAGATCTTGGATACATCTCAAGATGATTGTTGGAATGTCTAAGTTTTGTACACTCTATTAGCTTTACAGGTTAATGTAATTTCGCAAAATGCTTCGCAACCTTAAGACGATTTTGTCGCCTCTTGTTTTTTTTTTTTTTTTTTTTTTTTTTTTTGAATGTTATTACACTTAAGTGCATACATTCTCAGTCGTGACTAAAACTAGAGGAGGAAGCCTTTCCGCCAACCACCTCGTCGCGGAGCTTGAATCCCACCAATCAAACTGACCAGTTTAAAGCCCGCGGCCCAAGTTGCGGACCGCGCGGATCAAGATTACTGCACCTTACCCACAACCCAGCGCTACCTTACTAAGGTTGAACAACTTGGGCTGCGGCCTTTAACACGGCCTCATCCATCCTATTGCGTCCCTTCCTCACCCTTGTGACAAGAATCACCCCGTAGAGTCTCCGACTCTGTAACCCGATCGCGGTCGCGCAATGCACATTTCCGAGCGTCAACGTCGCGTCGATCATCGCGGCGATGATCCCCCTCCCTCCCTTGCCGTGCCTCCCTGCCGCGCCCCCCTGCCGCGCGTCGCTCCGTATCTTCCCCTCTCTTCTCCGCGACCGAACACGTTACATGATGCACGCCAAGTCCGCAAGATTGTTTCCACTCCTGTGAATACCAATAATTAATCGGAGAGATTGACCACTCATTCTCAGCACATACATCCACGCCCGCTTCCGAGTCCTCACTCACATTCTCACACGCCTCTCCGTCTCGTCTCCTCCCTTCCGAGTCGCCGCCGCGCAACCTTCGACGTCCCACCCAATCTCACCTCGTCACGACTACGAGCGCCGCAAGTCGCGGTGGTTGAGCCCTGACTTGAAACCTTTTCTTCGTTGCGGTGGCATCGCGAACGTTCGATCTATTATCTCTCCATCTTCCCGGTTCCTCCGGCTCCTCTCCCTTCGTGATCATGGACCGGCGCTTCGGGCAGCTGTATGGGCTTGGCGCCGCCGCACTCACCGCGGGTCTCGTTGCCATCAGCTTCCTCGCAACCCACGCCAACGCCGAGTATGATGGTGAGTACTACTGGCAGCTGCGTAGGCTGACTGTCACACATCACTGGTAGTGACAAGGAGCAAGCATCCCAACTTCAAGCGAGGCCTCCTGCACTTCCTTGGATGGTGTCGTCATGAATCCGGCGAACCCTGGACTACCTCGACGGTGTTCGACACGTCGGCGGTTCCGATTTTCACGTGACAAAACTACTCCGCGTGGAAATTTAATTTCCAAGTGCTCATGATGGAGCGGGGACTTTGGGGTCTCTTCCACGGAATGGAGAAAAGGTCGGACAACGCAGACAAGATCGCGGTATGGAAGAAGGACCAAAAGGCGTTCGCTACGCTAATCTCGCGCATCAGCATCAACCTCGTGAGCTCGGTGCGCACATCCATCAAGCTTGAAGCGTCGGCGCATGAAGCATGGAAGCGGCATGCATCAAAGGGAGGAGCGCGGTTCCTCTTGGTGATGCTTGACGACGCGGCGCGGATGTGTTGGACCCGACTCTTGAAGACAAAGGGCGATGCGGTCAAGGCGATTCAAGAGTAGGCGCTCGAAGTTTGCGACGACGACAAGAAGCGGATCAAGACAATTCGCACCGACGGTGGCGGCGAATTCGTGAACGTGGGGCTTGAAAAATGGATGAAGAGCAAGGGCATCATGCACGATGTCACAACACCCTACACACCCCAACAAAATGGAGCGGCGGAGCAGCTTAATCGCACGTTGGTGGAAGCCGTTCGTTCACTTCTTCAACACTCCAAGCTTGGGAGCGAGTGATGGGGTGAGGCGAGTTTGTTAGCGGCGTGGATTCGCAACCATTTGCCAATGAAGGTGCTCCCGGGAACGACGCCGTTCGAAGCATGGACCGGAACGAAGCCGAAACTATCCCGCCTACACACCTTTGGGTGTCTTTGCTACTACCATGTACCGGACCCCCTTCGCCACAAGTTGCAACCGAAGACTCGTGCGGCGATCTACTTGGGAATTGCGGCGAATGAACGTGCATGGCGAGTGTGGGACTTGGGTGACAAGCACGTCGTCACGTCTCGGGACGTGGTCTTCGACGAAGACAAGTTCCCGACGAAGGAACAACCAACGCCGCAACTCACCGTCGTGTCAGAACACTATAGCTTATACGTTTGTGTAGCCTGTAGTGGGGTAGCCCATCAGGGGTACAACCTAATTAGGGTTAGTACTTGTACCCAATTGTTTCATAGTTCATTCATTCTTGTTCGTTAATTTGACATGGTATCAGAGCAGGTTCCTTGGGCCCACCACCTGCTACGCTGCTAGTACTACCACCTAGGCCCATTGCCCCTAGGCCCGTCAACCCTAGCCTAAACGCCCGGCCCGTCGACCCTAACCTACGCGCGCCCGGCCCGTCGTTCCTAGCCTACGCGGCCCGTTGACCCCTAGCCCGCGGCCTGTCGACCCCAGCGCCCG